TAGGTTTAGGTAAGGTTAAGTCCTATCACAAAATCTTTACTAGATGCACACATCAACCTCTTGCCTCCTCTCCAAGACAAATGTGGGAGCAGTCTGGACCTAAACAGAAAGATCCTGAAATGTAAGATAATTGCCAAATCAGATATCCAAGAGCAAGGCTTTGCCTTTTCTAATTTGAAAGGCTATTAAGAGCTTAACAGCCTTTGTTTAGGAAAAAAATACTTATACACATAATACCTTGCACACAATTTCAGAGATTCATACAACACATCCTAAAGCCTATTTACAAAGCCTGAGTAAAAAGTCCTCACTCCCTTCTTAGCCTTCTGGGAGTCAACAGCTATCTCTGCTCTAATCCTCAATGGAACCAGAAACTTCTGCCCCTACAGTTCATGGAACCCTCCATTGATTCCTGCCTCCATTGCTCCTTGCTCTATGCCAGTGCTGAAAGTACACCAGTCAATCTGGGGGACCTTTCTGTCTGTGGTATCAAAGTTTATGATACAGAATACCGCTGAGCCCTCCATGTTTTCTTTACCCTCATTACCCCAAAACCACTAACTTCCCCAATGGACCTTCCTTGGGAGCCAGTCTTTATGCTGGTGTTCAGCACCTACCCTATGTGATTCCAGGGACATTATGAACCAGTCTCCCCACCCCCACACACAATGGTCATAAATAAGTATGTGTGTTGTGTGTGTAGTTACTACCTGAAATGCTCTCAGGAGCTTCTTATCTTTAGCTTCAAAATATTTGCTCCCTCTAGAAAATTAATATGTAAGCTATCAGCTACTTAAATTTTCAATTAAGCTTTCTTGTGTTTCATTTTTATCCCCCAATTAGACTAAGCAACTTGAAGGCAACAACCATATCCCCTAAGAAGTGTTCAACACATGTTGTTGTCTTATTGATATCTTGGTGTGAGTATCACCATGAAAAAAGGCAGCATGGAACTAGGGAATTAGAAGTAGGGATGAAGGATTTGGGGCCCTGGGAGCAAATGCTGCTAACTGTATATTATTGGTAAAAGCCAGAAATATTATTATACTACCTGTGATGGTCACTAAAGGAAGAAGGGAAATCCACTGGGCTAAAATGAAAACTATCATGTTAGTATAGGATAGAACTTGGGAAAATAAAAACAAACAAACAAACAAACAAAAAAAAAGCACCAAAGCAACTACTGAATAGACAAGATTTCCTGAAAACAAGAAAAGCCTAAATCTTGAGATAATTAATAATAACAAGTATTTTCAAATGTATTGGGCTGAGGCTTGGAACACTAAGAATTATTTAATTGTTTCCTTCTATTTCTAAACACTTTACACAATAGATTCCTAGAAAGTTGGAAATCACCCCACACATCCACAGAGTCAGAGACATAGTGGGACAGAGAAATTTATTTACATTCTAAGTAAATTAGGTACTTTAGTCTCATGGTTTTCACTCCTAGTGAAAAAGCCAACTCAGCCCCTGCAAGAAACAATCTAGTAGCTGTGGAAATGTTCTTTGCCTTCGCAAAGCAGTCTGCTCTGTTGAGAAGTAGTCCTTACTTTGGTTTTGTTTAATGAGACCTACCTGTATAAGTAGATGTCTTCTTACTAAAGGGAAGGCACTAAAACAATTAATTCATACTTTCCAAGTTTACAGATACTGAGGCAAGCATCAATTGTTTCTTTTTTTTTACTCTTTGTTTTTGTAAAAAGAAAACAGCCTGAGGTTCTTATAATTACCTAGAAAAGCAAATCTCCTTTCTATAAGGTTCCATGGCTTGGGACACGTGGTGGTGGTGGTGGTAGGCTGCTCTAATCCTTCATCTAGAGGCATTCCAGGGGTATTCTTGTGAACACACATACTAATTTAAAGTAATGAACCAGGGTTCTGATTCTTATCAGCACTAATTTCCCTGTGATTAAAGAAGTTGTTTTACCCTTGCTGGGCCTTCTCCAGATATAAAATATTTTCCTGGATAGTTTTCATGCTCCCTTATAAAATAATCCTAAAGTCCCCATCAGCAACACTGAAAAAAATCTGCAGCCATAGCATTCTTTTGAATTCCATAAAAGCAGTATGAATTAAAACCTAAAAACCTGAATTGATAATGTTATACTAATTCTGTACCATTTCACATTTCTGTTAATGCAGTGAAAACTGATCACATGTTGAAGGAATATTTATAAAAAGGGTACTTCAATTGAGAGAAACTATTCAGCAATAGTTTTCCTTCAGAGTTGGGAAAAGATGGAGTTTGATTTTACTTTAGCAGAGGAACAACCAAATCCAGCTGGCATGACAAGGGAGAGTTAGTTTGGACACTTCTAGTCCAGATGTCTTCAATTCCTCTTTCATTTTTCATGGTTGTCCTTGCTCTAAATAACACAAGCACTCCTGAAAGGTGCTCAGACCTGAGTCTGACGTTGGGATTGGGCTTTGATCCCTGATTATCCAAGATCTCACCTACATTTACCTGAACCACTTTGCAAACCCCAAGCTCAAGAATATCCACATTTAGCTCTTCCTAGAATCTAATGAGGTCTCCCTTCCACCAAAAACCAAAACAGCTCACTTTGGTTTGTCCTACTAAGGCCTGCTAGTCAGCCAGTATTTATTTTAACATATCCATTCATCCATATATGTTTTGGAACAAAATAATCCTAGGTGCTATTGCTAGAATAAACACTGCAGAAGTTCGTTTGTGCACCTTAAACCTTGGGGAAGAAATGGCTCTTGAACTAAAAGAAACACACATCTCTAACGACTGGTGGGCAGAATTATCACTGGGTTTGCATTGCACTTGTGAGGCACCCGCAAAAGCTTCAGCCAGCCATTTCCGGACACCACAAACTTTCAATTTATTGTTCACAAATGTTAATTACATGTTGGTCCTTCAAGAAGCGAGCAAACAGAGCCTGATGTGAAAAGTAAATGAGTCTCAAAATGATTAATCCAACAACTCCTCATGGGACTCTGGATGGTGAGAGACACAGTTTGCCCTGCCATTCTATGGCACAAAAACCCAGGCAGGTCGCAGAGGGCAAGTCCAGTGGCTACCACTTGAGCACTGCAATGCACTCAGCGGCCTCATAGGGGTTTCCCTGGCAGTCCCCGCACTACTTAAAGCGACCGCTCTCGCCAGTAATTTGAAGTCTCATTACGCAATTTTATTCCCGCTCTGTCTCTCTACCAAGCACTTTGCCAACGAGGCACTGCAGCTGGGTGTATCGAAATTATATCCCCTTGCTCCCAAGTTTCTTGAGACGATTAATATACATAATAGCAGAGGACCCGGCGCCAAAGCGCGCGGGAGAAGCTGACACTTCACACATTTGTCAAGATTACCATCAGGTCCCACCTCCTCCGCGATTGCGACATTCGCCGATAGGCATCACAATTGTAAAATGTACAATAAGTTCCCTCGCCAGCCCCGGAGCCGAGGGGCTGTCTATAACTTTGTGGGGTTTTTTTGTTTTTGTTTTTGTTTTTTGACCGGTTAGGCACTATTGGCACCACGCTTGGCTTTACAAAATGCGTTGGACTGTTTCCTTGCCTTGCTTTCCCTCAAAGGACGCAGGACCTCAGAACTGCTCGAGGGTCCCTGGGACGCACGGCCTGCCCACTCAGTGATCCCTCACTGACCTCAGGCTTGGAGGCGCGACACTGAAACAACGCTGGAGAAGGGCTGCAGCCAGGATGGGGAGCAGGGCTCAATCCCCTCCCCCCAGCGATCCCGCAGTCAGGGGCTAGGGCGCCGGGCCAGGACGGGTGCGATTCGCTCCCGTTTATCAAATCCTTATCGGTGCCCCGAGGTGGGAGCCTCCGCTTTACACCAGAAGATACATTGTTTCTGGCTTCGATCCCACAGTGGAAGACTGAACAAGAACAAATCAGCTCCGGTACTAAAACCTCAGGGCTAGTCAATCCCTTCCTTTACGGATCGGTCCTCCCAGCTCTGCACCACCTCCCCGCTTCCCCGCCTTGGACTCTCCCGCGGCCGCAGGTTCCATTCCGGTCACTCACAGGCCAGCCCTGCCAAACCACCGCGGAGGGCTGGGATAGAAGCTCCAGCCCATCGGGGTGGCATGGTGGAGATAGAAGTGAGGGGCCAGGCTGGGAGCCACACGCATTTGTGGGAGTTGAGGCCGTACCCACGCGCCATGCGCGCTCACTCATACTCCAAGAGGGCTGGGCCCCGCGGGACCCGAAGCGGACTGGAAGGCAGCAATAGTTGGCCGGAGTTGCCTCTCACCCAGTGCCGATAGGCTAGAGAGGGCAGGCGGGCAGGTCGTGGCTGCCCTTCTCTGTCCTCTTAAGAGTCAGGCAACCGGGGACGCCCGGTGTGGCCATCCCCTCCTTGCCAAGACACCTGCCCCCGCAGGGCAATCCAGGTCATTACCCACTCTCTGGCTAAGTCAAGGTGCGGAGTGAGGGAAGGGGGGGAGGGCTCTACAAACTTAGGTGGCTTCTGGAGCCGGGACCGGGGCCCTCTGCCGCATCCCGGGCGGAGACGCGTCTTTACGACACACTCTGCCTTCGATCCCTGGCTAGTTTGGGGGCTCAGAGCTGGCAAAGGAACGTATGTGGACGGACCCGGGGGTCTGGAGTGAAAGAGAGGCGTGGCTACTGCCCCACCATGTGAGACCAGAGAAAAGTCGAGGAAATCAACCCAGAAGTATTTCATCCTGCTGGCCATGGTAGCTTGGTGCCTTGGGACTTCAGATTTTGGAAGGCACCACTAGAGCAGCCCCGACTTCCAGGACTTTTCGGGCTCGTTGCACGCGCGGGTTCGCGACTCCTTCGGGCCACAGTACTTTCCACTGCAAATTTTCAGTTCCACATACCCAAACCGACACCTGTTCTCTCCCTCAAAACCCTCCAGGTTTTGGATCCTCAGGGTCCAAAGACCTCTTGACACGCCTTCCCAACCGCAACCGCACCTGATGGCGCCAGCCCCGCGTAGTTCGGCCATTGCCTTTAACCAGCTTCCTCGCCGGCCGGCTTACCTTTTCTTCTCTTTGTCAGCTGTCATTGTCGTTGTGGCCCTTTGAGAAACCGAGCACCTGGGCTTCCTGGCCGGCCGGAGGAGGCTGCAGCCTCTGCCCTTGCTGTGGCCCTTGTCTGTTCCCCGAGGCCTGGGCGGGTGTGAAAGGTCCTTAGTGTTCCCAGGTCCGAGCGCCCCGCAGTCAGGTGGAAGTTTGCGGGAGACTGGCTAGGTGCGGGGGAGGGGTGGAGAGGTGACGGGGAGGAACCTGCACGCGGAGGCGGGGCCCGGGAAAGAGTGGGAGGAGGTTGTCAGACGCGAAGAGTGCAGCGAGAAGGGAACCGAAGTTCCTTTTTTCCCCCTCGAACAGGAGTCACTTTTCTGGGTTTTCAAAAGAAAAAAAAAAAAGTGGCTCGGAGGACGCGAGTTGGAAGGAGTCCGGAGCCGGGCGAGCGCGACCGCTGAGATGACCATACAGTCTCAGGACACTGCCGAGGATTGTACGACCGTCTCGGGAGAGCTCGGGTGGAGCGCAGCGAGCGCTGGAGCTGGGCAGCTGGCCGCTCCCGAATGTCCGGCGCCCGCAGCTACCAGCCCACTTTAAAAACTCTGGTGGCCCTCACGGGGGCGGGCAGGAGCGTGAGGGCGCGGGGGGAGTCCCCCGCGGGCGCAGGGGGAGGGGACCGGGGCGGGCGGAGGGTGGTAGGCCCCGCCCCCCGGCCCCCCCCGCCCCCCCCCGCCCGGGCTTCCCACTGCGTCCTGGCCAATGGGGAGGTGCGGCCTCAGCCTCTGCCCTGACCCTGGCCCGCCTCCTGCCCCCGCGCTGCGCTGCCTGTCTGCCCGCTCGCCCGCCCAGCCTCCTCCCTCCGCAAATCTGCAAGTTGTTTTTGAGGTCGGCGGGGTGGCGGGTGGCGGGGTGGGACTTAGCGCTGGGGAGGCGTAGCTAGTGCGGAGCTGAGTTGTGGTGGTGAGCGGGCTTTTGGGAGTGTTTGCGAGAGCAGGAGTGAGCCACCGAGTTTATGTCCTACCACCCACGCCATGCCCTTGGGACGAGGGCAGGACCGCGGATGCAGAGGGTCCGGCACGCAGCTGGGCCTAGCAGAGCCCCTCCTCCGTGCTGTGCTTCCACGTCCCTGGCCCCGCTGTGTAGCCCCTCCGACCGGGTGGGAATAATTCCAAAGACCCCAGTGGCCTGGGCGATGCGCTCCTTTTGGTGGAACACAGCTGATCTTCCATCTGAAAGGAAAAGCAGCGCAGTGTAAACGAGTTAAGAGTGCGCCTGTCCTGCCCTTTCCTCATCCAGTTAATGGGTTGTTTGCCTATGCTGGGGTGCAAGAGAGAATGACTTTCAGCCATCTGGCCTGCGGCCCTCTGCTCTCAACACACTACCACTGCGCGTTTCCCCAGTCAGAATCGGAGAAATCAGTCTGGTTTTCCGCGTGTGATCTTGGGGTGAGAGTTGGCACAATGTCCTCAAGTCACTGGATCTCGAGCCTGCCCTTTATGTCTCCAGGGTTCCCCGGAAGTATAAGAAACGTGAAGACTTCATGTATTGGGAAACAGTGGATCTGTCTGAGGCTCTTGCAGGCAGAGCTCAGGGATTTTCCACCTTGGCTTTAAGCGCTGTCTTCCACCTGCGCTGTGCGCGCCTCTGCCCTGCTCTTACATGCTCCCCCAGGCCCTTCAGACGGTACCTCACGTGATTTAGCAGGAAAATTTCAGGAAGGAACAAGGGAGACTCTTAATTTTTGAAGACTGGGGAAGGGCCTATAGGTCCCACAGGTGTCAGTTGAAGAGAAAGCAAAGGCAGAGAACTGGACTGTCCTGAGACCCCCCAAAGCCTTGCTGTACCTTGCCCTTTCCCCGCTAGACACATTTTGTTTCAGAATCTTATGTATGAGAGCGGGGAGCTTAGGTTTGTTTCAGCAGTAGCATAACAAAATAAACACTAATTTCCCCCTTTGTATACAGGAAGAGGGACGGGGATACTTTGTAGGAGCCTTGGGAAAACATTGGAAAGTAGAATGGGGAGAGAGGGAAACCAACAGAAAGTGGAGCAACTGAACACATTTTCTCATTTTCCTGGAGCTGCTGAGCACCATGCATACAGACAGAAGTCAAACTGCGTGCCTGACAGGGACACTCAATGAATGCACATTTCTTAAAAATTTGGTGGGTGATTTCCTACCAGGCTTCTCCAGCCAACCAATCCTAGTAGACACACTTATCTTAATGAAGTATTCAAATTGGTAGGCACAGTTCTAATCAGCAACAGTGTATTCACTTCGGACTGGAGTGGTGGTGGTGCTGGAACCAAGGACCTTTGTGACTTCAAGTTGCCCCAAGTTGTTCACCACCAAGGCCTCTGAGTCCCTGGGTATGCTTGGCAGGTCCCAAAACAATACCTCTAACCAATGGAGAACATTTCAACTGGGTGAGGTTATAGAATTAGCTTTGGGAATTTTTTTTTAAGAGGAAAGGTAGGGGCTGGGGTGCCTAGCATGTGTGAGATTCTGGATTCAGTCTTTAACAATCATATTAGCATAGCTCCTTTCCCATGCCCTCTTTCTAATTGGGATTTTGTCCTCTAAGTGAAAGATTCCCAAGTTAAAGTAAACAGATTTTGTGGCAATCCCAGTGAATAGCTTTGAAGACACTGGGATTTTGTTAGTGTCTGAGAGAGTCACCAAAACTTCTGTATAATGTTCCAAAGGGTTGGACCCAGCCTGCTTAGAACATAGCCAGGTAGCCCCATGGACTTTTTAAGTTTTCTTATAGGATTCAGTTTAACAATCTTTGAAAGAAGATGAGAGTGTAAGCCAGATACATGCTGTTTTTAATTTTTAGAGCCCATGGAGAACTAAAGGGAAAAAGCTTTAAAAGGTGATAGTGGGTGGAAGTGCAGGAGCTGGGTCCCTGGTTTTAAAGTGGTGTCTCTAGAGACATTGACCTTAAGGCCACAGACAGCAGCAGGGGGCACCCATAAGCAAAGCTCCCAAGCTGCTTAAAAGGGGAGCAAATTGCCCATCTCCAAGCAATTCTTCTCACCTGTCTCCCAAATTCCTACTGCACTGCTTGGGGACAAAGGCTATAGAACCAAGGGAATGGCTACTTGTTTTAACAAGGAACAAGACTGAGTCTCTAGCTCCCTTTCTTATTTGTAGGGTATCCCGTGGGAAGGATGAGCTAGAGACAAAGGGTTAACTTGCAAACTCTATAGAAAGCAGGTACCTAAGCTGCAGTAGGCAGGTGGGAGAAAGATGATCTCAGGGTTTTATCAGAATAACAGATTATCCAGGATGTGGTTGGAAAGCAGAAGAGATCTTGGAAGGCCAATCTCCTTCATTAGTACTTACAACTTTCAATGCATTGTCACAATGGGACTAAGAGGAGGCAAGAGAGGGCCCTAGGGCTCAGAATTGGAGAAGGCATTCAGGGTCATGAAAATGTACTTGTCCCTGTCCTGGCATACATTTTTCTCATGTAATATTCATCTGACCTCATCTAGCCATTTAGTAGGTTTCGGGTGGAGAGAGCATGGGAGGTAGGGTGAGAGATGGAAGGAAGGGCCATCTGGCAGAGGCCATGGCTTCCCTGTATTGAAAAGCTATTTTGAGTCACCCTCCCTTCACCTTTGCATGGTACTCCATCCAAACAAAGCCAACCGATTCTGTGACTTTACAAAATCTTATCCTCACTCCCTGTCCCTGAACTCCAGGATCAGAAAACCATATCCCTGTGCTTGATTTCAGGCCAATACCCTGAGATAATTTTGTAGACATATGTTATATCTACTGTTAAATATGACTTTTGGCCCCACAAATCCTTATTTGTCATCTTTCAAGAGGAGCTATATGACTTTTATGGGATAAAAGGTTAAACTTTTTTTTCTACTGAAATGCCTAACTGCTTCCCAATATGGATTCAGTAGTAACTAACCCCAGCTCTTCCATCCCTCATACCTGGATTACCAGTGACTTAGAAGCTACCATATTCCATTGCTAGGTCAAGGGGTAAGGTTGTGGCAATGAGAGGTCTTTGGATTTATCTCCCTGACATTCAACCAATAATAGAGGAGTCATTGGTTCAGGGCCATCCTCTGGGCTACTCTAAGGAAAACATAAGGAGTCAGTTTGGTGTAAGAGAGCCTCAGGGGCCCCTTCTCTAAGGAGGACACAGTCCAGTAGAGCACACACTGCATTTCTCAGATAGTGACTAAACATTTACTCACTTTTTTAAAGCTTCTGAAATCAACAGGCATTTTTAGCCATTCTAGGATTTCAACTCAGGGCCTCATGCTTGCTCAAGCACTCTATCACTTAAGCCATGCACCCAGTCCTTTTTGTTTTAGTTTATTTTTCAGATGTCATCTTAAGCTTTTGTGCCAGTCAGCTTTGGACCTTAATTCTACTACCTTCCCCTCCATGTACCTGGGATTATGGTTATATGCTACCGTGACCAGCCCCAACAGGCATCTTTTAAGTGGTAATTAATGATTCCTTTTGTCTCCCCCCAACTATTTTAAAACTGGTATATATATATATATATATATATATATTTATATATAATTAATATATTTAAAATATTTTGATATAAAAATTGAGAGCAAACTCATACTATGTACAATCGGTATGACAGGAATTTGGCAGTGGCAGTGCTCTGGGGTGGATTTAGAGAGTGAGTAAAAAGCAGAAAGTCTGGAGTCACAACCATGTCCACCTCTGGGACCCACAGAAGCCGAGCTGGACTGTCCAGGCTTTCAGGCTGGTGGGTGTGACCACTGAGGTGATAAAATAACACCCATGTGAGAGGAATGGCAATGGGAAGGACATGCCAGCCCCACCTCAGAAAATGGTCTGAGCAGAAATGAAGGTGTTCTGTCACTGAAAATGATGACATTGGGGCCCAAGCAGCTCTGCCCTGGAGTCTGATGGCCAAGAATGGCACAGAGTGGGAATAAGAGAAATTCTCCCCACCTAGTCAGGTGGCTTTGGCCTGTAACAGTATTAAAATGGGACTCTTCTACCTTGGTTTTCAACTGAAGTCCCAAGACAATGGGTACAGAATATAAAAATACAATAATATATCTATGTCTTATAAGAATATAACTCAAAGTATAGAATATTAAAAAGAACTTTTGAAAATGGTTTTGCATGTTTTCTTTGGCCACTGTACACCTCTAAGGACACATGGTTTGACTTACAAGAGGACTAACAATTGCATTTCTAGGATGGAGTTGTCCGCATCACGACAGTCCCTTTACCACAATACAGAGGAAGGGAGGATATGGCTTAGTCCTCTCTCAAAGGCCAGTGACTGGGGCTTACAGGAGACCATGTAGAGAGTGTGATACCTGCAGCATAAGGGGTTCAGGAAACCACCCACTGTGGAAAGGCTGGTCAAAGGGGCCTGTGGCAGTGAAGTGGAGGTCTGTGTCTAGAAGTTCCTACCACCAGTTGTCTACATCACTGCAATGGAGCATGTGGCTCTGAAGAGCAAGGTAAGAGCATGAGGTTTCTCAGGGCATGCACCTGGGGGAGATAAGGGAGGAAGCAAGATGGGGTAAAGGGAGATGTGGGTTTCCAGGCAACCCCACAAAGGCTTTTTCCAACCCCAACAGA